ACACACACACACACACACACACACACACACACACACACACACACACAGTCATGTAACCAGCTAGGAGGGCGAGTGGAACACAAGATAATCTGCCAAGCAAACCTTACTACTGCTGCTGCTGAGTAATCCTGATTAATACAATGTGATTTTATATGCTTATCTGAGACTTTTGGAGATAATTGTCAATGCTAGCATGTCAACACTGCAGGCATGTCCAAAGAGGTTATGAAATACAGATGTGCAGTTCAGTTTTTAAAATAAGTAAATAATAATACAATTAATTAACAGTGTTTATGTGCAAGGAGCACTGAAAGGAGAGGTTGAATAGCAATGCGTGCATTTATTTAACAAGCCCGAAGGATGAGTGAAACACAAGAATCTGCTTATTCTTGCATAAACCGCTACGCAACGTATCAGTTGCTGTGGTTATGTGGTTGAAAGAGCAGCCAGCACATAGGATTAGCTACAACAGCTAGTTAGCTGAGATCCTCCAGCTGCACACAAGTAGTAATTGTGTAGTAGAAATGCTTAATATGCTAAAAATGCAAGCCAAGCAGGCTGTTTTGCTAGCAGCAAAGCGTCATAATGTGCGGGGTCAGAAAACAGCGTGTGCGTTATATACTGCATACTATGAATGGAAGACTTTAGCTCACATTAAAAAGGACATCTTCGAAAAGGAAGTGGCCAAAAAAAGGGTAACATTCAGGGTTGACCTCACAATAATGACAGAGAAGAGTTCTGATACTGTGGCCTGCTGTTGATCAAGTAGAGGCAACTTGGGTACGTAGAAGGGGCAGAGTGGGACATGAGGTCCTCTGTACACAGATAAACAAATCCTTAACACAGAATCATCAGTGTGCTGACTTATGGCTACTTGTTGGTTGGTTAAAAACAACATTGTCAGCTCCGCATTGATTCACAGTCCTGGTTAAAAATGTACAGTAAGACCATAACAACAACTATAGCTACAGATCGGTGGATGTCGAGCTCTTGTAAACAGTTCCTATGTTGGCCTAGTTTGAACAGGACTGAACAAAAAACCAACCAGCTTGAACCAACAGCAGCTCACTCAAAAGGGTCACAGTAATGTCACCCGAGTGTAAACACTGATTTGATCATTTACTGATGTACATTTGAACCGTGATTCCATCGCTGAGCTCAAACAAACAAAGTCAATAGTCTGACTATACGGCTCTTTAAACTAAAAACTAATCAGCAAAGTGCTTCGTAATTTCCACCTCTAAAAGGAATGCGTCTACTTCTTCCTTCAGGGGCAGGGCACGCATTTCTACTCTTACTCACACACACAGACACACACAGAGACACAGGCGAGCTACAACCTGCTCTCAACGCTGAGATAACCATCACACACCCCTGTGCGCCAGTGTCACACAACTGTGTTCCTAGAAGGACAGGTTCCCAGTAGTGCACAAAACCTTAAAACCCTGACACTGCTTTGATGACCCAAGTAAAGCCACAATGCATGTGTACACACACACACACACACACACACACACACACACACACACACACACACACACTCAAGAATACTAACAATGAGCGCACACCGTTAGAGCTGCCGTTACCATTAACATAAAGGCAGCCAAAACAGAGGGATTAGCGTGTCAGAGTGGTTATTGCTCGGTGCCATTCTTGATCTATTACTTAACTGCTCATTATTTGGCTCTGACCTGGTTTTACTTACTCTTTCTCTTCCAGTGTTTCTCTCTGAAAGTGGTGTGGTAATGGGGTTCACTGGGTAAAATCTCATGTCAGAGTAGATTAATTTACCCCAGCACACATTGGCTGCTGTGAGGACAAGAAGAAACGCAGCTTCCAATAGATAAGCTTGTGGTTAAAATGAGGTTCTACAACGAACAGCTCCTACCAAGGAGTGTGAATACAACAACAAAAAAAGTGTACTATCAGCATATAAAGGTGGTCTTAATAAGAACCTGACACATTAAATAAGAGCCACAATGGAGCAGCAGGTCTAAAGACAGCTCAGCATTTATAAAGAAACTACTCAAGCATAATATTCATCCATGTTTAAAACCAACCCATGCCGAGGAGTAACAAAACCCTTAGTTAGTCTTCTGGGTGTCGGTTTGATGCAGCCTCCGCCAACATTGACACTGTGGTTATTTTCTCTGTATTATGTTGGTAAACAAACTAATAAAGGGACCTTGTAAGGAGCAAACCTGACACGCCATCTGATCTCCCTTTCCTGTGGGTGGGTTTTCCTCAGCGTGGCTAACTGCTGCTGACCTTTCCAGGGTTTGTTGTAACACGGAGAGCTGACACATTTAGCCTTTTCTGACAGTCCCCCCTCTACTCGCTGCAGAACAGGGTCAAGGGCAGCTTTCCTCCTCCGCTGGCCACCCTCTATCTTCTCAACCCTTCATCCCCATGAGGGAATCCGTGAGCCAACAAGTAGAGCAATGAACTTTTCTGGGGCAGTGTGCTTTGATGGAGCGTGTCAGAGAGCGCCCCGTGTGTGTGTGTGTGTGCGTGCGCGGTATTTAGCTAGAGAATGACATCCTAGAAAGTTGCGCTTGCTGCCTGTGTTTTGATGAGAAGATGCTTGATAAGCAAAAATACCGCAGGTCATGAATGTTTTGAATAAGAGACGGGGAACAACTCATAAGATGATAAAGATTTCAGGGGAAGAACTGAGAGAGAAATTGAGAAATACAACAAGAGGAAATGAATTACATACAGAAAAATGTACTTTTTAAACAACGCGTATAGAACAGGAGCTTCGTGTGTGTGCATGGGTGGGTGGGAGGCCCACTGTAATAACGCAGTACATATAGATGTCATATGTATGTCATGCCTGAGAGCTCAGAGCTATTAATTAGAGATGTGTACTCAGGGGCCCCCTGGGCCATACTCAACAGGAAGTGATGTCATCTGGGTCACCGGTAATCTATTCTGCTCAACTACTGACATGGCTAACAAAATTAAATAGCTGGAAATGAGAATACTGTAGTTTAAAGACGAACAGGAAGAGAGGTCTGTCCTTTTCCCTGTAGAATAAGAGTAGAGACTCGATCCGAAGTCTGTTTGTCCATTAAATGATAATGAGGATCAGACAAAAACAAGCTTGTTCACACACAGTGCACTAGTAGTGTAATTTGATAGAATACACTGGAAAGAGCTTCTTGTGTGTCTGAAGGACAAAGAGACAAGGCCACTGCCACCTGTCCCCCCGCGCAGCTTGTCTCATGGTCGTGCTGGGACGTCCCACCTGGCCCGGAGAGGGGGGGGGGCCCTCATTCCTGGCATGTCATGGGAGACACGACACCACAGGTGGCCTTTCACACCAAAAACACACTCACAGAGACGGCACATGTGTTACAGTCTCACAGAGACATGCTATGCTACAAACACAGACACCCCCGCCGTCGCACAAAGAGTCACACAGTCGTAAGATGATGGTGTTTATCTCAAATATTGGTGATGGTCTTGGTTGCAACCCTCCTTTGCTAGCCCCATGCCATAAAAGCACAAAAAGTCATGTGTATACGACACGTGAACAGACGAGGGCCACATGTACAGTGTGGTGCGGCATACACACAGGACAGGGCCAGGGGCGCATGCTAACCGGCATGTTGAGAGCCCTGCCAGCATGCTGGCAACAAAAGCCAGAGGCCTGTGGGTGTTAAAATGTAAGCTAGGTCAATTTTTCAGCCTGGCACTTTTCTCTCAGCACAGGACGTGGCGCTAATTGTACCAGTGAAACCAGACCATGTGCAGGAACACACACACACGCACACACGCACGCACGCACGCACGCACGCACGCACGCACGCACGCACACACACACGCACGCACGCACGCACGCACGCACGCACACACACACACGCGCACACACACACACACACACGCAAACAAAGTTCCACAACAAGCAGTAATGGCGTGTTGGCCATAGGGATGGACTGCTTCTACCTTCCATTCCCACTCTTTCCCACACACACACACACACGACTGTAAAAGCAGCAAGCATAACCAGTTTGTTATTGTTCATCCATATTTTATCAAGGCTGCTATTTATAACTGGGTTTGAGTCGGGGTCAAAGTGAGAAGTGACAGAAGAGAGGAAATGATAAAGAAACATTTCTGTGGTTTTGTCGAGCTAATGAACTCCAGAAGATAGTTTGTCCTAATTACAAGAAAACTGTGGTTACAAGAAGAAGACCACATATGTGTTTAGGAATGAAAAGATGAACTGTTCCTCTTTCATTCCAAACACGGAGTGAAAACATCTTTGCATGCGTGTATGTTTTGCTAACCTGCCCTAATCCTGGAACAATTTGATGAGTAAGCACAATCTTGCCCAGCAATGCTCTGCCTCACACAGTTATACATATAGGAATGTTGCATAGTACAACCTTTGTCTTCTGCTGTCAGTCTCTGAATAACCGGGACCATTAGGGGACTAATGCCTTGCTTAAGGGCATTTATATGACATTGACTCCCATTCATATAGCTTTTTCTTGCTATTTCAGGGACTCAAAGTGATGAACTTTAAGGCCAAAAGCTCACTTCTCTAACCTAAAAGGCAGAGAGCACATGCGTGTTTATAAGTGGCAGGTCATATTTTTTACATCCAGTCAGGATTTACAAGGTTAGGCCTAGTTTTCAGGAGGATGGTACTTAACTGACGATAATCTAAGACAGACAAATGAGTGTGAATGATGCTGATAAATACACCCGCATTACATCCTCAACCGTGTACCATACTCCTGAATCCTGAATCTGTGAGTGATACTAATGCAAAATGTGGATTTCTATTAAATGCCACCAGATACACACGTTTACAACACTGTTACTACAGGGAACTTTATCTGAGGAGATTATGCAGTAAAATGTGATGCAATTCAAAAACTGCTGGCAGTCTGATGCTGTGCATGGAGAGTGTCAAGTCTATAAACAGATCACCATGATCACTTTCTCTCACTGGGCAAATTGTTTTGTGGATAAAATCAATTTTAACCGCCTCATTTTAATAGGTGCTTTCCTTAAGTATGAATACCACTTTCACAACTGATGCTCAAATTACTGATTATAAAATGCAGTGATTTATTTAAAAGGACACTCGCACCTTTTAACCTCATATTGAAAGCCACAGATAACTTAATTTCTCCCTGTGTGATATAAAAACCAGATGATTGTCAACTTACAATCAGTGCTTCCATATACACATGCCAAAATACCGTCCCTCTTAAAAAAGGAGTCTGGTACACCTGCATTAATATCAAACACACACTGCAAGTTAACCTAAACCCTGATTTAATGTAAATTTGAAGGGCAAAAGCACTCGTGTTATGGGTAAATAAATAGTTTATTAATTAAAGGCTGTGGCTGTTTGGCTTTATGTGATCATACAGACCCTTCATTGCCATGTACTATCTAGTAATAACACAATATGATAGGGTGTAATGTTAGCTCATTAGCATTTTGGCATCCCGAAACTGATTGATTGTAGGGCATGTGTACGGTCACAAAGCAGCACTAAAAGTGTTCCTGCGATATCCGTTCTGGCCTTTAATCGTGCGTTAGCATTGCAAAAACAGGCTACATGGTAAACAAATTACCCTGAGTTCGTCTCTCTCTGCCTCCCAGCGGTATTTCTCGGCCTGGAAGCGTCCCCACTCGTACTGGATGAAGTGAAGGATCCCAGGAAGCGTCATACCCGAGTCCCCGTCCTGTAGCTCCCGAGCCTGCGACGATCCGGGCATGGCCCCGGCTGCTGCTGCCGCCGCCGCCGCCGCTGCTGCTGCCATCACTCCGGTCGCAGCAGCTGATGTCGCCTGGCCCGGTGCTGCTTTGGGCCCGTTTGGATTGCGCCCCGCTCCGCTGCTACTGCCGCCGCCTCCGGAGTTCGGGTTTGGTCCTCCGCCGGATCTATCCGCCTCCATTTTAACCGTTCAACCTTTCGCCAGGATAAGGAGGCGTAAATGGGCAGAGTGTACGAACAATAATAATAATAAAAAGTACCTCGTACCCTTCTTCTAACCCAGCAGCACTTCTCTTTAGGGGACCCTCTTTTATCGCCTTTATCACACGCACAGAGCAAAATTACTATTCAGCTAACAAAATACTACACTTCCTCTTTCAAACCTTCAACATAAAGTACGATGTTGTAATCGTAACATATTGTAACATTCTGGCCTATTTAGTCACCAATATGCCACATTTAACATAAAGTCTTACTTGGAAACGTTATCTTAAGTAACATGGGTATAAGGTTATTAAATGTCTATCACTCTCAAAACAATACAAATGGATGTTTGCAACTCTTATTTTATACATCCCAGATTTGTTTCCTGTTTGCCATTGGAAATTCCCAGTGTGGATGACAAATACAGGGCCATGTTTGCAGCAATACACAATGAACACGTCGCTATGGGAATTTATTTCCTGCCATTTTGTGAGCAAGGATGTTTGAGGACAGTAAAGTTAGCCAGCGGTATCCACAACTTTGTTTCCGGTTTGAGGTTTCCACGACAAAAGTCAGTCACGGGTCGACCGTGATTTTGTCTGCCCTCTGATTTGTTGCAGATAAATTACAATTGGACTTGAATACAACAAACTTGTGTTAAATTATACAGAAGCATCCTTAACACATGGTAATCTATATTTTATCATTTTCGATTTTAACCGGTAAGATACACATGCTTATACAGTATGTACACATAATAATTACATAAATCAGAAAATCAGCTGTACAGATGCCGGTTAAGACTTCAGCATCGGGTCCGTTGTCATCCCTGCGCTTTAAGTAAAACACAAGTGGAGACATTTATGGGGTAATTTCTCAAACATAACAAATAATCACCCACATGCATCCACTTCATTTTATTTTCTGTTCATAATACAAGTGTGAAGACTATTTCTAATATTTAATTGGTTGATAATAAAACGATAGGGATTACATGATAATGTAAAAATATATTTTCAACCAAGCAATAATATTTTGCAATTTTTGTGCAAAATTCGTTTTTGCTGCATTTGTTAATATGGGACTTTTGTTCTGAAGGATTTGAGCCGGAAGTTTTGGCAAACGTGATAGCTTAAAGATAAATTCGTGCAGTTGGGTTCCATGGTTGAGCTTGAGTTAACTACATAGTAATGCAATATTCTGAAGCGATTTCTGTGCACTGTGAATTTAATCTTAAAATGTTGCAGACTCGATTTCAACCACAACCGCACAGTCATTAGCGAACAATGCAGATTCATCTCCGTGTTTGCTGCGAACGAGTCAGCCAGGTTTGCTCACATGCTACCAGAGCTGGCTGAGATGGACCACCATGAGAACCAAATACCCTGTAGTACAACAAGGTTAATAGGCTTAACACTGCTGCATGCCTCTAATAACATGGCTAATGCACGATGTGAAGGGCTGCAAATAATTGCCCTGTAAAAAATAAAATAGATACACCCGAATTAAGGTGAGTTGTGGTCGTGAATGTTACCAGCCTGTTTAAATTGCATGATAATGCAGCAAACGTTACTTACATTTATTTAGAAAAGGAAACCCTGCATTGAGTTATGGCTGTCCTAGTTTTACATTTAAAGTAATTATGTCTGCACTGCTAACTATTTCAAATCAGAGTAGCCCTCTGTGTCATTTTAAAGTAGCATGAGATTGTACTTTACAGTCAAGGTATCTTCATACAGTTGTTATGAAAGTATAAATCGGTGGGATTAAAAGCATAACTCATTCGCTGCATCATTTCTTTTTTTTGTCTTTCACAGGTTGTCTTCAACTCTAATTCCTCTACTATTTCACTAATGGGGACCTAACACCCACCACTGGATTTCTTAATTGAAACTACTTCTCCTGATAGAAACTGGGAAGGAAACATCAGTTGCCATGCGTATCAGTCTCTGCCAAGGCCTGTTAACTGGTGCCATCATCCTCAACCTCCTCATTCTTTACTATGTGTCCCGGGCTCAGCAGCAAATGATGGACAAGAGGAAAGAGCTTGGCAGGGGCACGAGGAGGGCGGCCCTTCCAGCCTCTGGTCTGGGCAGAGGCCTAGGGGTACCTGTAGGAGCTGGTGGTGAGCCTGGAGTGGTTGGAGGGGAGGGACACAGTCGTGGCCCACGTGTAACTGTTCTTCTTAGGGAGTTTGAAAACTTTGAGAATTATGTTGGGGATGTGGCTAACTCTTTCCTCCGCCAGAGACCTGAGCTTCCCTTCCTGGCTGTGGCAGACACGTCTCCGTACCCACCCCTTGTGCTTCCAGAGGGGGCCCGCCTTCTAGTCCTCTCCCCCAGCCCGGACCAGCCACCACAAGCTCACAGGCCAGAGTTCCACGTCCAGACGGAGTTTGTGCTGCTGGTGCCTGACGGGGTGGAGTTGGAACAACCTCGGGCTATCGAGAGGCTGATCAGGGAGTTGGAAGGTGAGGGTGGGGGGCCTGTGAGGCTGGTAGCTGCGCCTGTGCTGGCTCGATCTGCTGTGCAGTGTCTCCACCTGCGGGTGAACCTCAGAGAGTGGACAGCCACCTACTCACCGGCTGCATCTGGGAGCAGTGGAAGTGTGTGTTCGGCTTTACAAGGAGATGCAGTTGTCCTCATTCGCACTGAGGATCTTTTTAATCTCTCCGTCCCTGTGGGGCGGCCCCTCTTCTCCTCGCTCTTCGTCCAGACTGCCCTGAGAGGCTGGAAGGTCAAGCTTCTGGAGAGCCCCTGTTTCGCCGCGAACCATCGGCCCCTCTTCAGCTCCGCCCACAACCAGTGGAAGGCCGACACTCGACTGAAGGAGGCCACCGGGAAGCTCATGAGGAGCTTTGGTCTGAAGCGTCTCCTGCTGCCTGATGGGAAGGAACAGTGGTATGGCTGCAGTAAAGAGACGCCTCGCTGCTTTGGCACTGTGCAGGATGACACTCCAGACTACCTTTATCTGGACCGCTGGACACCTCCCTGCTGTCTGCGCGCTCTCAGGGAAACCACCAAGTATGTCATCAATATTCTGGAGACCTCAGGTGTGCGCTACTGGCTCGAGGGGGGGACCCTGCTGGGCGCCGTCCGCCATCAGGACATCATCCCGTGGGACTATGACGTGGACCTGGGCATCTACCTGGAGGACATACCCAACTGTGATCACTTGAAGAACCTGGACTCTGGCTCTCTTGTGGATGCTAACGGCTATGTCTGGGAGCGTGCAGTGGAAGGAGACTTCTACAGAGTCCAGTACAGCGAGGCCAACCACCTGCATGTTGACCTGTGGCCATTCTATCCCCGTAATGGCGTCATGACCAAAGACACGTGGACAGAGCACAAACAAGACGTGGAGTTCCCAGAGCACTTCCTGCAGCCGCTGGTACCCATGTCTTTTGCCGGAGTCACTGCCTACAGCCCCAACAACCACCGAGGCTTCTTGGAGCTCAAGTTTGGAGAGGGGGTTATTGAGAACCCCCAGTATCCCAACCCCTCGAAAAAGAGGCTGGACAGAAGCAAATTATGAGATAGAGACTCGGAAGCCCTTTTAATGTAAAAACTTTTTTTTTTTTTAAACTGCCTAAAAGATGATGGCTGAAAACTAATATGGTGCCAAAATGACTGCATTTGGGTGTCAATTTTACCACAGTTATATCAGCAGTTTAACCTCATGCCTGGTCAAATGTTTTCTATTATCAGTATTTGGATGCAAAGTCTAACCTTGGACTGCCTTCTTATTCTTTGTGGTGGTGAGATTTTGTTTGCAAGGGGCATGAACGCTTGAAAGATTTAAATCCATACACTAGTATTATTGTCAGGCATATGTTAAAGAGGCAAGGACTGGCACTACATGGTGTACTAGATCTGTATGTGTTGTACAGTAAAATATAAATATGAATGCTGTAAAGATGGTAAATACTGTTAAATTATAGTGATATTGTTTTTTGTTGAAAACTGCAGTGTACATTATCTTAATAAGGATTTAAGGTTTTGGACGGAATTATTTGCCCAAACAGGTGTTTTATGATTTGTTTTTTACTTTGATGCATTGATTTGCACTGGTTCTTTCAGATGATGCAGTTTATGAATGATTGTCACTGTAAATCGATGCCATTTGGTACCCGACAGCTGTGGCGTGGTGAATGTTTGTCATTCATGCTCTCATTTTTGGCATATGGAGAGGAAGAAATGTTACTCTATCAGGCCTTAGTATTCAGTTAAAAAAACGTATTTTTATGAATATTAACATTATGTGTGTTACTACCCACTGTGTATTAACTCAAATGGAATTTCAATTCAGTGGATTAATCAAAGAAAAATATTCCAAAAGAGAGGTTGCACCAGTCTCTCTGGGTACAACAGGTTTCCTTTAGTATCGTTACTTGTGTGTGTGTGATGTATCAAGCTGTCACTCCAGTTCACGAACCGGTAAAATAAAGGAGATGTTACAGATCATTTCATTAATTTATGTTCGTGAGGATTGTTGGCAAATAAACTGCAAATACAGTGAATGTGCCAGATTGGTAGCATTTCTTTTTGAACACTAGGTGGCACCACAAACCTAGATATCATATGGGCTTTGCAACTCCTAGAAGTGGTGTTCACTGTATTGCATTATGGGAGTTCATAGCCACCAGGCAGGGGCCCAGGAGGCAGAGGATTTTATGACAGGATAAACCGGAATGCAGCTCGCTTGTTAGTCAGACTGGTCTTGTAAACTAGTTTCCGAATCCTACACAAGAAGAGGCTGCTCTGTATTTCACCCATTTATGCCGCACATATTGTACTTCCACAAGGTGTGTTTGCCTTGTAATTAGATAAACATCTATACTGCTGAGAGACTTATTTTTGGATGCAAAACCAAAGGCTCTCCGTGCATTTTAAATGTTTCCCCTCTTGCATGCTGCTACAGTATCTGGCATCTGGAGGTGAATGACGCAACTGTGAAAGTCTTTTTTTTTTTGCTTTACCGACTGTAGAGCTTGCAGCTAGTTACTGCAGTCAGGGTTTAAACAGACAAAACAAAGTTTCCAACAAACAGCCAAGAGATGCAGCCAAATAAAATATAAAATGTCTTTATTGTTTAAATCCTAAGGACAGTAAATTTAAACTAACCGGGCAAGTTTTTTGAAACAGTCCAACTGAAATGTCATCATGGCTAACATGCGCAAACACACACACACACACACAGGACAAAAATCCTATGTTCGAACCAGACAAACATCCATATGGTGAAAAAAAAAAAAAAGTAGTGGAAACTAAAGTACAATCAATCAACTTTAACACCCTCTGATTAAATAAGACTGTAGATATGTGGACTAAGGCCTGCAATGATTTCATAGACTGCCATCATTGGAAATAATACGAAACTAGTACTATATAAAGCCTCTGAGAACACAGATTTGTGAATAGTTGTACACAGCATTGGTAGCACAAACGGAAGTCACGTGGTAGAGTTTTAAACCCATGAAAGATGATACGGGTGGAAGAGATAAACATTCAATAGTGCAAATGTAGTTAATCATATATTACACATATATAGATGTTGCATTTGAAAAATGTATCACTCTAGGGTCCATTCAACACAACTCCATCACAGCTACACCACAAAGCCTAAAACATCTCAACTTTCTTAAATGCCCACAGCCACATGAAAAAGAAAATTCCAAAAGACTACCAACTCACCACTTTTAAATAAAACCAATAAAAAACAAACATAATAAAAACTATCGTCAACCAGCTAAGAAGACTTGAAGTTGGCAAAAAAAAAAATAAAAAAAATTTGGAGTTACTAACATGTCCAAACATTGTCTTAGGATTTTGATTATGGAAATAAATATGATTTGAACAAATAAGTATCTTATGTTTATGGCCATGACAGCCACACATCAATAGGTTTAAGTGGAGACATGCTGACCTTCAATGAAATCCTTCAGGTTTTCAGGCCTCAACAGTCAAAAGGAGCCAGCAGTCCACTACTGCTAGTCTGTCAACGTTGAGGCATCCTTGTAGTGGAACGACTTTTGTTACTTGCACATCAGATGACACCAGTCACTCTACACTTTATACAACATTAAACAAATGTCCTCGTTACAGACTGTGCTTTTAAAGTCCATTTGTGCCTTACTAAGCGGCGGGTAGCTACACAGAGCAACAGCACGAGTAAAATGTAGGCTATAAGAGAACAAATACCATATCGCCTTGGAAATGTCATTCAAGATTAGGAGTGAAAACAGCCTCCTGCCTTTTTACTGAGTCTGTGCAATTTTTGGTATTTTTAGAGTATTAAGGACAGTCTTCAAACCCTAGTTAAGCCTGAGGTTGTATTGCCTTCTATTGCATTGATGTCCATGAGAAAAGGCAGAGATGCTCCGAGGTCTATCGGTGTCCAAGCAGGTTGGTGTATTTTGAGTTCCATTATTTAGCCCTGGCCAGTTATTGCGTGGATATAAGAAGAACGGTTTGTGCCTTTTGTCATACAGACATTATCAGCCATTTACATGCAGAGTGTGGAATATATTTAAACTAACTAGTGTTTCATATGCTTTACATATAACAAATCAAATACAAAATACATACAAATATGTTGTCCACAATCTGCATGAAAGTGGCCATAATCATGTATAATAAAATACACCAACAATTCATGTTCATATACAAAGCATTAAGAGGATACATTTCACAACAAATATAATCCTGTTCCTGTACGGGAAGATTGAAAGTTGACCACAAACTGAAAAAACAAAACAAAACAAAAATCAATGTAAAAAAATAAAAAAATAAATAAAAAAATAAATGAAAAAGTATTGGATTCCAGATGGAGAATATGAAAACACAGATTGGGTGCAGCAAGTTGTGTGTGTGGTCCTCAACTTTTAAAGTCAGAAACGTTCATCCGTTCCACCAGAAGGTTGACAAAGTGGTAAATACCAGTTGTGTACAAATTGGTGCCAGGGGGCCAATTGGTAAATACATTCATATAACTTCCATTTCCCATCATAAATTTATGTAACATTTCCTAAATTTGTAACATGAGATCTGCCATTACCGGCAGATGGTCACTGATCCAGCCGCTCGACATCCCAGTGGATGTATGCATTAAATAGGTGAACAGCTGATTTACACAACTTGGTCACATGGTAAAATTCTGACTTTAAAAATTGATGAGTGAGCAATTGAAACATTAGTAGCCAGACTAATGTACACAGTCTCTCAAAAAGAAAACTAAAGTCACTGTACATAGTATGGATTTTGAATTCCCCCCCCCTTGACTTTTTTCCTTTCTGCCCAGAACAGTGTTGAGGACATGGAGCGTTTCATTAGTAAGGTACATGTCCATCCTCTCTTTTCTCCAGGGCAGAAAAAAAAAAAGGAAAAGAGTGTTTTGGTTTTGCAGGGCTGTGAAAATACACGAGCGTGTCATTGACGGTGTCAGCAGCTTGATCACATGATGGACTCCTTTTCACCGGAGAGAGACTTCTCAGCACTTTCTGCACTGTCCCGCTCACCTCGCTTCTCAATAAGCGGCGAGTGCTCAGGGGCAGTAGCTGAAGGGCCTCCCTCCAGCTTGACCTCGCTCAGCTCTGCTTCCTCCTCTCGTTTGGCCGCACGGTCCACAAAGTTCTGCAAGAGCCCGGCTCCATAGGCATCGCCCTCTACGTTCAGCACCGTGCATGTACGGTCACTAAATTAAAAAGACAGAATGGATGGATTAATATTGGCTCAGACAATAATGTCGTCAGGGAGCATAGTACATTAAGATTGTACTATGTCACATCAGTGGCTTGGCTATAGTGCTCTATGTCTACATATAATACAAAAGGTTCTGTACTCACACAAGCCAGTCAACAGCCAGGATGAGAGAGATGTCATTGGTGGGCAGTCCCACCGCCTCCAGGATGATGGCTAAGGTCAACACACCACCAGCAGGTATACCTGCAGCTCCAACACTCGATGCTGTAGCGGTCACACTAACACATTAGGAGGGAAGACGACACAAGTTAGACTCTGACAGAGCAGATTCAATTTCACACAGGCAATTTTTCTTTTACCGACTATATCTGCATTGAAGTACCTGTTAAAGTGTGGCGATTGTACAATTTGATATAGTATTCAATCCAGCCGCGTAACTGCGGACGTGTCTCAGTGGCTTTAGGACTTACAGGATGGTAATGACTTGGATGAAGTTAAGGGAAGTGTTGTTCAGCTGAGCGATGAAAACTGCGGCCACACACTGGAAGAGCGCTGCTCCGTCCATGTTGACCGTCGCTCCGATGGGCAGGATGAAACGGCTGATGTGCTTGGATACGCCGTTATTTTCCTCCACACACTTCATCATCAGGGGCAGAGTGGCAGAGCTAAGAAACAAGGAACGCGTGAGTGCATGAAGGCGAGAGGTACGAGCGTTTGTATAGCGAAGAAAAGTGTGCGTGTTTTAAGACAGGACATCCTCAATATTAGATATTTAACAACCAGAGAGAACAAACAAGTATGTGTGTGTGCGGGAGAGAGCAGCGAGTTTATTACCTGGAGCTTGTTCCGAAGGCTGTTGCCAGAGCTGTAAATATCCCCCAGAGGAAGGTGTATGGGTTCTTTCTTGTAATGACGAAGTAGATGGCGGGCAGCACGAGAAGGCCATGAATGGCATGTCCGATGATACAGCAGGCTATATATTTTCCCAGACTGGCAAATAGTGTGCCAACATCATCCATTTCAACAATCTTGCCAGCTACAAGGAACATGATACCAAAAGGGGCATACCTGCAGAGAGACGGGGGGAGTGCAAGAAAGAGAAGGGACCTCATTAGATAATTATGGTTCTGGAACATGGCAAAAAGAAAAAGCCTCTCATATTCAATGATTAAAACGTTTTTAACCCAGCGCTCCACCCATCCCAACCCAGCAACATGCAGGTCTTTCTTACCACATGATCCAAGAGACCAGCACCATGGTGGCCTCGTTGAAGGAGTTGAAGAACTTAATGAGGATCTCTCCTTCCTCACCCAGCTTCCTCAAAGCCACACCAAACACAATGGCAAACACTACCAGACCGAGAATATTCATACCATCCTGGTCTGTCCCAAAGGGCACCTTAGAGACACAGGAAGTGCACAGTCAGGACACACAGACCCACGCCATCATTCTAGAGACACGTGTGCTGAGTGTATTTTGGTCTATTTTATGTGGACAACTAGGCCATTGCCTTTGCTCACCTTCTCCACTGAGACGGTGAGGTTTCCATCTGTGCCATTCTTGGAAACCAGCTTGTAACTGGTCGCATACTGGATGGGAAAGAACATTTTGCCCAGTTAGTTAGTTTACTACTTTCAGTCATCCAATCTAAATATTCCCTTTGTATAATTTCAAATCATAATTATGTCAAATTATAAAATCAAAGTGCAGTACTTACTGATTGAAAGGCAGCAGACACCAGGTTGGAGGGAAAGATGTTTCTGCGGAGAGAGAAAAAGACTTTCAATTCCTGTGCTCAGTGTGTACCGGACAATTTGAGAAAATCCAATGAAAAACATGTGGCTGTAATCGTAGGGAGATAAATTACAGATGTGGGAACTGAAGAGCAGAATACAATAAAAGTGTGTTGTTGTTTTTCCTGCATCTGCTCATACAATAAAACAACCCCGACCAACTATGAAGGACACGTAGAGCAAGGGCACATTTGCAAGGGCACATTTGCCGCAGGGCAAACACATTGTAAAGCCATAAACTAGCCTCCGTTTAGTTCAGAACCATTTCTGATGGGAGTCGGAAATGTTTGTCCAGATAGAAGAGTTTAAATTAACTAGAAAGCATCGTCCCATTTTATAGCCACACTTTCAAAACAACACTAGTTTGTTCTTTTCTTTTACAGACACAGATTACAGATGGAATCACAAGATTGATCATGTGGAAATAGCTGAAAGCACTTAACAAATAATCCCCTTCTTATCCACTCTGCCTAACTGCTGGTGTGTCACAAGTACACATAGGTACATAGTTCCGACTGTATATTAAATCTGTAAAGAACTCATAAACCCATGCGTCCCTGATATGCCTATATGTAATGGATTTATAGTAATAAGGCATTACCTTCATAAGCTCTTTCCAGCCATTCATTCCCTCACATTTGAACCAGAATACATAAGAATTAAAAAATCATGTGATTAGGGCAGCATGAGACGGAGGCTATTGTGTTTCATAAACAATGCAGAGCTGAAACCTAAAGGGATCTAGTTTCAAGGCCTTGTTCTTTGCTGTAGCTACTTCATTCCCGGTACAAAACCCAGTTTTAATGAAAGACAATATTTATGTACACTCACTGACAACCACAAAGGTTTCCCCCACACATCACTTTCTGAAACACACTAGTTGTTTAACAATGAACAGGTTAAACTCCTTGTACAGGTTCCTATTAAATATGCATGTTATGCTAAATATGTGGTGTGTTCAAAGGTTTTATTAGTTTTGTGGAGTTTTTTCCTTTATCATAATCGAGAGTCAAGGAGAGGATCTCAGAAACTGTCTCTGTACAGTGTATGAGATCCACTGGAGTATTTACACTGTAAATAAACCGGACCAGACTATTGACAGTGTGTGGAATGTTGTCATACCACTCCATTCATTCTTCAAACATCATTAGGTGGGTGCGTTTCTTTTCTGAAAGATTGCGGATTGTTTGAGGCAAATAACTTTGCCAGCTGTTTGTTACACCAGGATCTGGCAACAAGCGGTGGAATGGTAAATGTTTAATTAGTAACATCAATGATTCAAGGTACTTGATGGGGAATGGACTTAAGAGATGAACTATGGCCCATCAAAATGTATACACGTATTTCTACAACCAAAATTAGGTACACAGTAAGTAGCTTTAAAAAACGAATTAGAAAACAATCAGACTTGATTGAGACTTGACTGGAATGAATCAGACGGTACATTATCTAGCCTATGTTGAGCTTCGAGTCACAGGGTGAAAAAATACTCAAAATGAAGGTTATGAAAAGAATAAAAATACAGTCTACCAACACTTCCAATACAACAAGTACTTGGGATAAAAGCAGCAAAAGGTAAACCTCTTTTGAAACACATTGTGCCACGCAATCAGTATTTAATGTCACTACCAAACCACACAAAAGGTAGGAGATAGGAAATGTCAATAAGGATGTGTAGGAGTGGTTCGAGTCTGAGTTTACCCCACCATCACTAGGGTGACATGTGGTCTTTTACTATCCTGTCTGGACAATGACAGATAAGCACTTAATAGAGTGTGTGTCTGAACTATAACTAGGGCGTTTTTTTTTTTTACACTTGATGAGCAGCTCCTCAGTCAAAGTCTTTCCGTCTGTGTTGGCAAAACTAACCGGGACACCGGCGGAGAGGGACCGCTCTAATGAGAGGCACGGGTGTTGTCTGCTGTCCCATTAGGATAATGTGTCAATGTGTTTTGTTGTGTCTTGCATGAGAAAACAACATTCAAGATGTTGCGTTCAGGAACATCAGTTACCAATAAACCACATTTCATCCGAGCTGTTAAACATGAACAGTGAGCCAGACGAAAATGCTAAATAGCCCATCTGAGTTTTGTAACCCCGACCAGACACCGTTATGTAAGGGACACAATGTTAATCCGTGGCGGGTTAGGTTTTGCTCTATTACTCTTGCGTGTCAATTTTAAATATTTTTAGGAGGTGTTGCCAGGGCTAAGTCACACTACTGCTGGAGGAGAGAGGGTGGAATTTATGGTTTCTATTAATACACAATTTCATAACTCATTCCAAGAATGCTCAAACTAACCAAACACAATTACGCAATAGAGCCCCAAATGTATAAAGATTGTAGGCAAACAGTGACTTCCTGTTAAAAGTTAAGCAGATGCAACACTTTTTTCTGGCATCAAATGAGCCAATAATGGATTGTCGAAGAAAGTACATCATGTTCCCACAAAACTCAGAGTAGTAGGTTTGTACTAAAAAGAGGACACTACATAGTAGTGTCCTCTTTTTAGTGGCAATTGTGTTTACGAAAGGTTGAGGTTCAATACACTTTAACCTTACAGTACACTAATATAATGAATAGCTGTTGATGCAGATAAGCAGGGCCATCTGTCTGTTTTGGCGTAAAACAAAGTGCAGAATAGAAAAAACACCTTTATAACATGTTTTACTTCAAATTCAATACAGGATAATGTGTCAGAAGATGTTGACATCTCACTATTTCAGTCTCTGAGTCAACGGTTTGACCAATCTGAGCCCTGTCTTCACGGTTTTCACATTGCTTCACATTTCTCATGACTGTTACACATTGGGGTGGGGACACACGTCAGCCTAAAGAGACACATTGGGGTGGGGACACACGTCAGCCTAAAGAGACACATTGGGGTGGGGACACACGTCAGCCTAAAGAGACACGTTAAAGCAGTGAGGCGGGGGGAAAAAAGGTCAACAAATTTAAATTTTACGTGTCTTGTCGGTACATTAGCTTTGGTCTCTATAAATATCTAAAGCAGAAACTACATCGGGTGGCTTCCTCTGAAATCATCGTTAAGTAGAGTAAAATTAGAAGAGCAGCGCTGTGCCGGTTTTATAATACCAAACGGGGCAGCGTTTCACCGCACAGCTCAAAGTGGCAAAGGACTCAGTCACGCAGGTGGAGTTAGTTACACCACGTGCCGATATTATAGAACATAGACGTGAAGCTGATGCAACCGCGTGTTGCTATTACAGCGACAACGCTCACACCGCTAGAGGCGTGTGAGCCGAACTACGCGTATAATTTAGCCAACTGCTCGTTGATGAACAGATATGCTGACGTTGCATTTATACACTATTCTACACCACGGAGGGGGAGAGGTTCACTCACCTGATCAAATCTAAGAAGGAGTCTATCACTTCTTTAGCGACAGGCACGTCGTGATCAAAGCCCTGCACCTTGGGTTTGGCCATCGACCCGGACCCCGGGGTTATGATAAAAGCCATCACAACCCCGATGGATGAGGCAATCAGCGTGGTGACCAGGAAGAAGAGCATAGCCCAGCCGCCGAGCTTGCCCAGGGCTTTGGGGTCGATGCTGGCGGACCCGGACACAAGGCTGCACACCACCAGGGGGATGATAATCATCTTCAGAAGCCGAATGAGAAGCTCACCGGGGAAACCGATGTAGATCACCTGGATCCGGGTCAGCCCCGCGTACTGCACGCCAAGTCCAATTAAAACCCCGATGATGACCCCGACCACGGTGAGGATCACCAGCAGGTTGGCCATCACTAGTCTCTTCACCCGCTGGGACAGCGGCTCCCGGTTGCCCTTGTTGGGGCTGTTCGTTCCGTTGGCCAGCGGCTCATCGAGGTGCTTCTCTCCGTTGGGTAACTTCCTCTCCTTGATGTCCATCTTCTCAGCCATAGTGCGCGTTGAAAGTCACCCTTAAAATGATCCAAATATCACAAGTGTGTGACCAAAACTATTGTTAATGTGGTGGGAGTAACTTTTCATTCGACTCGCACTATGCTGCCAGCTGTCCTCACTAATGCACGATGTTCGGCTGGCCCACAGCGACTTCTACTTAGCTGGGAAGCCACCCCTGTGACGCACGAGATGGGCGTGTTTGAATAGAGAGCGTGGCAGAATTCCGTGACTGTTCCATTACATACATTTAAACAAAATGAAAAAACTATCAGGCGTGTTTCCTGTACGCTGTTGTATTCATGTCTAAATGTCATTTCATTCCTTTTAGATGAACACAATATTTTCCGTTGGGCAATGGGGACAGGTACACCACCATCACAGGTGGGCTTTGTTGGTTAGGCTGTATGATTTATTTTGGACTGTGGTCTAGGTCTAAATATTTGAGGATTAAATGTATAGTTAAATCTACATTTGTGTTTAATCCTTTTATGTGGCAGATGTAAGATTTTCTTGCCTGCAAATATTTCTGGTGTCTTGGAATTCCAGGCGTGCATGACACAAAAACAACAATTACTGTACATTATTTACAAAATACAATTTTAGTTGTCACATTTTAAAATGTAAAGCTTGTGATTACTTTTTTTAAATCACAAATCAAATACAATTTTAGTTTTCACATTCAGTGTATTGAGGGCTGCATTAAGGCACAAGACAACTTCCTCTTGAAATCATCGTTAAGTAGAGTAAAATTAGAAGAGTTACCCCACGTGGCAATATTATATATACATAGAACATAGAACGTGAAATAAAACCCAACTAGTCAAGACATGTATAGTTCTTCTGGAAAGAACGTCATAAAAAGAGGGTCCATGGTGCACAACTAGCGCTCTGCTCCGAGTTCACCCTCAACATGCATGAAGACGCAGCTGAACTGATGCAACTGCTTGTTGTCATTACAGCAACAAAGCTCACATAGCTATAGGCAAAGGCACCTGGCAATAGGCATTACATCTAATTCAGTCAAATGCCACCATCCAGTGGTTGGTGAGACTTATTTTATTTTTTTACATTTGGAAGTCTTACCAAATCACCTAACTGGACATAAAGGTGAAGAGGGTGTGGGTTCACTCACCTGATCAAATCGAGGAGTCTATCACTTCTTTAGTTATTAGAGGGCTGCATTAGGCACAAGGCATTTTTATTCTCTGAAACTACAAAGTAATGTTGCACTGCACTGTCTCGCCCATCTCCTCAGGCAATGCTCATGTTTATTTTTGCCTATATTGTGTGAATTATATCTGGGCCAAATTACTGATAGAATTAATATACTGTAGTTTGAGACTTTGCAGACAAAAGTGCTAACGGTACGTGTCTTTGTGTACCCCAATACAGTTTGCTGCAGCAGAACACAAGATTAGCAGCCACAGAGGTGACCACTCACTCACTAATTCAGTGTTACGGCAATACATTTTTTGCTTGACGTAAACTAACCTGAAACTAGCTACTAGTATTGCATCATAGACTGAAAAGCATGATGGAAATCCCCTTGACCATTTATGCAAATCAGGAAGCTGAAAGAGAATTTAGAAAACGTTAAAAGTGAGAACATTTTTTTGAAAATTAAACTTAATCTAAAAGCAAAACATATAAAAGCCTCTGCCAACACTAATCTGCTACTCCCTTTTATTAGAGTAGGAGTTAAACTTGGCTCCATTAGCTAAGGAGCAGAGGCTCGATACAGCTGCCTGAGAGGAGCCTGCCACTGGACTTTGATGAGACCTCCCTCCTGTGTGTGTTTATTTGCTCTCTTCCCAAGCACCAATTCAGCAAAGAAAACCATTATTGTTGTATTTATACCATCAAAGGGAAGTGCATGTGGAACCACAAGCACAGCAATGAACTTAAACTAATCGTCATTTGACAAAGAATTATAATTGAGGAGCAAGGCTTCTCAATTTGAACTGCACTGTGTCCTACCCAAACATTAGAGAGACAGGGAAGCATGGAAATTGACCACATCTTTCTTCTTTCATTCTGATATTTTCACTGATGAGTGGCACCAAAAATTAAGGGTGAAAGTGAGTGAGAGTGAAAGTTTGGGATGGAAACAGCCAAAGCAGTATCAAATTTTCCAGAAATCATCATTTCCCGGTTAACCATCCTGCAGTTTCTGGTAAGATGTGTATCAAACTGTGAAAAGAGACAGACTCGCATTGTCTGAAATACTGAGGACTACAGTCTGATAGTTTAAAATGTTTTTGTAAGGGTCCATGAAAGCAGTGGGTTATCTTACACTCAAACAACAATCCAAGCCCCGTTAAAACAGTGTCCCACCAGTAGAAATTTGTGGGAAAAGCACCTTTAACAGCAAATAAACCCCACAGGACCATAAGTCAGGCTGATAGAAAGACGTCCTCTCAGTGCTCAGTTTGTTATCTCAAGCTTGTTCTTTGTTCCCTCTGACTGTGTGAGGGATTTCGCTGCGATTCGGCGCATTTCCCTGTGAGAAAGGACAACTTCAATAGCTAAACCCGCAGGCTCATAAGAGGCGAGAGGTTTTTTTTTAGAGTAGGCCCCATCTATAACAACACACTGCACACACACACACAAGCTGCACATTCTGAGGACATGATATTTTGCCGTGACAGCAACATCTCAAAATTTGACTTGTCTTCCAACGTTAAAACAAGAACGCCAAAAAAATACAGACAGGAGTCTTCAATCGGTGATATTAACAGCCGAGAGCATGCTGTGTACATAAGCACACCCATGGCAACAGCTTTGATTTTTGGTTTAAATATTCTTTACTTCTCGGAATCCTTTGCCTCAATCTAACTGACCACTGAATTTCTTTTTCACTGTATATGTGAAGGGCACTTATACTGTACCCAGCCTGTGCAGCTTCAGCTTTTAAGATGGTGAACTTGATAAACATCACCTGCTTTAACATTAGCATGTTAGCATTTTTAGCTCAAAACACTGCCTACAGCCTCAGAGAGCACGAGGCTGAAGACTTGTGTGATATACAGTAATCTCAGGCGTATGATGGTTTTGTTGACGCATGAAAACTCATGAAATAAGAATGTGGGTTCTGCAAAGCAAAACAGGAAGTATGCTTGTAACAAAGATAAAATTGATTCAACCAAATCTGAAAAGCTCAAACTTCCCCCAGTTTGTTCCTTTTTCCCCATTTGTATACTGTATATATGTGTATGTTTTTAATGGTGTGTTGTGCATTGTGTATTGTACTTGCTGTACTTGGAGGAGCCAAAGACAAATTTGAGGTGAACAATAAAGTCACTCTAATCTAATGTTGTACCAAAGGCACACAGCACAAGAATCATGTGACCTCTGAAAGTGGGACGCGGTCGGATTTGGCAAAACGTAGCTGTCTCAGGTATCGTGAGAACAGGTGAGCAACAGGGGCACTAAACAATAAATAAATTGGAAAGGTGGAGACAGAAAGGAAACTTTATACTACAGCTTAATGTACCATCCAGTAACTGAATGCTACTGTCATGTAGCAGGACCAAGGTGTTGTACAAAAAGGCTTTCACTGACTACAAGCTCATCTCCAAGCTAGAATGGAATTTGTAAGAATTCTACAAAAAAAAGCTTCCACGAGATCATAAGAATGTGTATCCGTAAACAACATGGTTATGACAAGGAATGTACTGAAAACACAGCATGTCTAGATTCAGCACCAGTGTTACACCTGTAGTCCAGAAGTGACGGGAAGGCTGCTAAACCCTGTCTGATCTCGTAGAGCCTTATGTGACCAGGAGGCCCCCCCTGAAATTATTCACGGATTTACTCTCTAATCAGACTCGCATGCCCCATGTGTCTGTTACAGCCTGCCTTTCATAACCACTGACTTCAAGTATATGTGAACTTGGATTTCATTGTAAAAAATCGAGTTATCTAAATTGACACTGTCTTTTTCATTTCAATCATATCAATCACATACACAGAAGAGAGTGTGTGAGAGAGAGAGAGAAGCTTTGGATCTTAAGGGTCTAATTCAATGTTAGTCCCTTCATGCCCGCTGGCAAGGGGACAAATAATGCAATTTGTTTGCTTTTAATGATTCATTTATTGACGATTGAAAGGTTGAATGCCTGTTGTTTACCCCTTAAAGATCAAGTTATGTGCAAAGCTTCATATAGCTGGGCATCTTTTTCTAATCTTCCCGCCCGACCATATACAGTCTATATACTCTTTCTTACACTACCCTCCCCCATTCACAAACACTTTGGGTGAATTAAAAAAAAAGAAGAACCTGTTTAAACCGCACCATTTGTTGGAAAGCTGTTTTTGTGTCCCAAGTGTTCTAGTTTCAAATGTTTAACGATGCGCTGCTCCTCCCCTTCCACCACACCACCGTTTTCCTTTGCTTTGTTTTTGCTCTAGTGCCTGGTTATTGTGAAATGCTGACAGATTGTTTTGTACTCATAGGTAATGTATTTTAAGTGTATCCGGAACATGTTTTCTGTTGTCTCTTAAATGTGGTAGATTCTGGCAGCTACTGTATACTAACAAACAGAAGTAATGAGATCTTGCATTGTTGTTAGCTTTTGACTTAATTATCATATCAGGAAAATCCTCCTCCTCCTCCTCCTCCTCTTTAGTCTTGGATGCTTCTGTTACAAATAAAGGACAGCAATTATGCTTCCTGTCCCCTGCCTAGTTAGTCATTTGATCTTTCTGCATGCTCCCTCTCTCTCCGCTTGTAATAGGTGGAGTGAGTTACCTAGTGGAGGAAATAGCAACAGCATAGTCAAGTCAGGTCAAAACACCCTGCCTCTGCCTCAGGACACAGAAGGCCATCAGCAGTCCTTTTGTGCCACTGTAAAAGGAGGAGAAAAAACATACAAGCCGATCCCCTGCATGTATGATGTCACCACGATGTGTCAACGTGTATGTGCTCACGTTTGTGTCACTGTGTGTATTTAAAAGACCTGCATTAGGCTGAGGTCAATCAATAACACACACAGAGAGGACAGCAATCAGCTAGGACTGGTTGTCCTCTGTGCAGGCTCATTGCTTTTCCTGCATAGTCATGAACACAGCTACATTCTTACAACAAGACTTTACTGCTTTTTTGTTTTCATTCTATTCATAATTCAGCCAACACTTTTTGAGAAATG